GAGAGAGAGAGAGAGAGAGAGAGAGAGAGAGAGAGAGGCTGGAGGGTCCAGGAGGGACGCATATTCAATGGATGAATGGATGGACGTGTGGATCGATTCGTACATGTACCATGATGTATGGATTGCTGGATCTTTTGATAAATGCACTAACGATCGATTGGCGTATGGATCCATGGATCCATGGATTGATGAATAGATGAACAAATTCAGACTCATGTTATAAAGTTCATCACATCGCATTTGGATTTGAAATGGGGTCTGTATTTCAACTGTTAATGGGATGGATGAACAAATGAATAGATGTCATAAATGGATAAACAGATAAATGGATAGATGGATATTAACCAAATGGATAAAGGGAAACAAATGGATACATGGATAAATGGAAATATATGGATAAATCGACCCAAATGGATAAATACGCAAACTGATAAACATGCCGTCGTGGACTCCCGTTGGATTTTCGTCTGCTTGTTGCAGGGGCAGGTGTGAGCTGGATTCCAATTGGGATTGCATATGATAGGCTGTGGAAGTCACTTAGCTTAACGTGTCAAAATGGAAGAGGAATACGGTCACAGTAAGAATGCTGTCATTAACCGAGCGCTGCACTTCACCGTGAATCTAGGTACTATACGGAAACGACACCTCGTCGTTCTGTTGGTGGTGATGAATCTGATGACGATGTCGACATCCTGCTGCGTTACAAAGAGCGAAGTGATTATAAATGCACCAGGACGAGGAGAAGGAGGAGGAGAGGGAGGAGGAGGACGAGGAGGAGAAGGAGGAGGAGGAGAAGGAGGAGGAGAAGGAGGAGGAGGTTTACGACGAAAAATGACGGCTGACTATGAGTTGAGGAAGATGCTATCGTCTTCATCATTATCATCATTATCATCATTATCATCATTATCATCATCTCCTAGATCAAGAGCACCATCACTCCCATCATCATTGCCATCATCAAACAGACGAAAGGTTGCTGCGGCTATGTCGGACTTGGGCTTTACTTTTGACACCCGCGTTCCAGCGCAGCAAGCGGAGGGCAGGTCTGTATTTAGTAGTGAGGACGATATTGCTGTCACGAATAGCACATTTGTGTTGGGGACAAAACTAGTATGGAAGCATGCATTGGAATCGCCATTCGATATGACGCTGAACTCCACTATGTGGTGCGGAGCTGTCGTGAGGAACTTAGTCTTGGCTCCCATCGAACCTATCATCTACTTCGTCCTCGACGAGCAATGCGTGCGCAGCCCTGGCGACGATCGGGCAATCATACGGAATCGGCTTTCCTATTGGAAGGTAGATGTTGGGTCCGTCAATGCCCTGTCGAAGGGGGAGAGACTCAGCTACTGGTGGTCCTTCGACGATGCCGACTCGAAGCTGGCCAACTCTCCTGTTATCGTGGATGAACCGAACATCACGGCTTCCCCCATGGTTCTGGTCCGCGGCATGGACCTGGTTCAAGATGGCACGAGCCTGGTCATGGGCACCACGGTGATGATCGTGGCCAATCCAAAGCTCACCTTCTTATCCACAGCGGGGGGAGGTAATCGATCATCGAGCTTGACGAAGCTGAGACGCATGGAGAGCATTGCATTCAATCGCAACAAGACCAAGCTATACGTCGTCGACAAGAACGATCCTTTCACACATGTCCACTCTGCTGATGTGGAGCTTGGTGGGAATGCTCTCCCTTCCAGTCCTGCAATCACCTTTGCTGACGTGGCCGGTTTTCAGAAGGGCAGCGATGGTGGTCCAAACATCAGCGCCGTGGAGTTCGGTTCTCAGAGCTTTGACCCCAGTGGAAGCTGCCTTTACTTCGTCGATAAGACCTTTCACAGGCTGTGGGCTATGGAGGGCTTGGCAGGAAGGCAGCCATGGTTGATTGCAGGGACAGGTGAGACAGGGTCGCTGAATGGCGACGCCAAGGTTGCTACCCTCCACTCTCCTCGAGCGGTGGTCGTCTCTCCCGATGGCTGTAATCTGTTCGTCTCGCAGGAGAACGGCTTTCTTCGATGGATCACCCTTACTTCCCCGTGTGGGTCGGCGCTCAGAGTCTTGACCGTGGCCATTGGCAGTACCCTGTCCTTGCGAGGACTGGCACTTCGTGAGGTGGGTGCCCGCCTGTTCTTGTATGTAAGTGCGAACGCTGGCAATATCTTTGAGCTCGAGATCAACCGGGCAAGGCTGCATGTCTGCGGGTCCGACCTAGAGGAGGGTGGGGAGGGTGGGGAGGGGGTGCCTCCCACCCCTGCTTCCATTGTCGATCCAATGATCGGTCCCTCACCTCCTCAACAACCCTCCTCTCCGAGCGAAGGTGGCGCAGGACCAAACGTTGTCGTTGCCATTGTTGCGTCCGTTATCGTTGTGCTTGTCACAGCCCTTGTTATCTTTGCATTGGTCGTTGCTTATCGCCGCCTCCTGCATCGTGGGGAGGAGGACGGCGCAGCAGCGGCTTCCGGCAGCCTAAGGCCATCAATAACCGCCGGGACACCATCAACGACCGGGATACCGTCGGGCGGGTCTGGGAGGAATCAACGCAGCGTTGCTTCCATAAATCCTTCTGGCGTGAGGGTGTTCCTGCTGACCGACTTGGCGCGCTGTACCGGCGACTTCGACGAGTCCCGCCGCCTGGGGGAGCCCGGCGGGTATGGCAACGTCTATAAGGGCACGATCGACGGCCAGGAGCTGGCCATCAAGGTCATGAAGGGGAAGATGACCCCAATTAACAGGAGGCAGTTCGTCGCCGAAGTGAACAGTCTGAGCCGTCTTCATCACAGAAACCTAATTAGTTTATTTGGCTATTGCCACGAAGGAGAACAGGCAATCTTGGTGTACCCGTTAATTAAAGGGGGAAGTTTGCACGCACGATTGCATACGAGCGCGTCCGGGAGCCAGGGGGAATCATTGCCCTCTGGGCGCTTGTCACTCTCAGATCGCATGTCCATCGCTAAACAGATCGCTGAGGGGATTCGATACCTGCACGAGAACGCGGATCCACCAATCATTCATCGAGATATTAAATCGCTAAATATACTCCTTCGTGACGAACGTAGCGAATTACGCAACGGACACTCAAGTGATCAGGGTCACATTTGCGCTCTGCTTGCGGATTTCGGTTTGGCAACGGTGCTGGACAAGTTCACGGACGCTGAAACACGCCATCAGGCGGTTGTGGCGACTGCATGCAGCGCAGGCACTCCGGGCTACATGGCCCCAGAGTACGTGTATCGTCGGAGGCTGACTTTGAAGACAGATGTGTTCGCGTTCGGTGTCATCTTGCTGGAGCTCCTTACGGGGAGAAGAGCCATTCATAGGACGATAGACAGCGCGGTGTTGCTCGTTGACTGGGTAAGAAAAGAGCGCGACTTGCCGGGTGGCCGGTATCCCATTCACATTGTGGATGATTGTTTTAGTGCTGACGTTGCCACAAATCTAATGGCGAGGAACATGGTCATCGATATGTTCCATTTGGCGATGGACTGTGTCGAGCCTGAGGATGTGCACAGGCCAAAGATGTGTGACGTGTCAGAAAAGATCAAAGTTATATGCTTTGGGGATAAGAAACCAAGTGCGCCTAGTCGCTGAGCTCCGTTATGCTGAAGCGAGGGATGCTTCAACATTCTAGTACTCCCCGTTGCAAGTCGTCTAGGTGGGCATCCCCAGCCATGGCCGACATGGACTTCACTGTTTCGAGACGAACTACATTCGTCAACGTGCACAGTCCGTGACTCCGTGGAACTACACACATACACACACACACAAAGAGAGAGAGAGAGAGAGAGAGAGAGAGAGAGAGAGAGAGANAGAGAGAGAGAGAGAGAGAGAGAGAGAGAGAGAGAGAGAGAGAGAGAGAGAAGGATAGGTTGGCGGAGGCCCGAAGGGTTATGTGGTAATTAGCTAAGCGCATAGGACAGGCGGGTCTTTGGCTGGCCATGGTGGGACGACTGGCCTTCGTTGTAGGGTCACTAGGGTGTGGATTTGAAGGCAGGTGAAGGATGGGTGGTGTAGAGTCTGTAGATGAGGGCATTATTTTTAGAAGTGGAATGTCCCGCATGGTTGCAGTAAGAAGGAGATGCACTTTTGTGAGATAATGCTGTCCTTTTTGACGCGATTCCTTCGATTCTCAAATCTGGCTCTGTTTGTTGCTGGGTTAGCTGAGTGGCTGCTGGTGTTCTATGTGCGTCCATGTTGTTGCCTGCGAAATGCGCTGTCGCAAGTCTGACTCTGTTTATCGTGCTGCGTATATTCAGACCGGGCTAGGCTAGTGAATAAGTGTAGGTTCAGGTACAGGCTGAGATTTAGCTGTCGGAGGCGGTTTGGTTATTCTTTAGTGGAGCACAAGTCATTTTCATATTTGTCGACTGTATATATATAAGGCAGCTTTGCTTTCTTAGACCATTTGTTTCAGATGGAGGGAGGAATAAGAGAAAATGATCCTACACAACTTTCCTTTTTTAGATGGAGGGAGGAATAAGAGGAAGTCCTCCAGTTGTATAGGATCCTATACAACTTTCCTTTCTTAGCATACTCTACCAGCCTCCTCGGGTGAGCCAAAATAATGTTATGTTTTACTTCTTGGACGCTCCAGAATTACATGGTCGGCCAAGGACAGAAGTAGAAGCTATTAAGGATCAGGTAGGGATCTTTTGGAGAGTAACTTGGAAAGGCCTAGAATTTCCATGTGTTCGAGTTCTGCCTGTTTAATGGGGAGGTGCGGGTTCTTTCCCACGACCCTCAACCTCCCCTTCTCACATTTCAGCCGGTGTGAGGTTGGCACCCCCACCTCCGCTGCACACATTCAATTGGTGTTAGGTTGGCCCCCTGGGTATTGGTTCCCAAGTCCAGTGTATCACATAGGTTGATCAGCTCCAGCCCACTGGGCTACTATGTCTGCTGATTAACCTATGTGCTACACTGGGCTTGGGAAGTTGGGAAAGTCCAGGGTTCTTTTGCTATTGGTTTTCAAGCCCAGTGTAGCAAGGGAAAGGTCCAGGGTTCTTTTGCTATTGGCCCTGAACGGCACATAAGATTGTGCATTGTCACATACTACACAGTACAAATACAGCTGGGGTGTGGCGGGGATGGGCCAGGGGTTGCAGTGGTGGGGACCGCAGAGTTTGACGTGGTAAGACCTTTAGGGTGTGGGGTCAGGCGATGTTGATCTCAGATTGGACTGAGAGAAAGGGGATCGATGGGTGGGTTTCTCTGGACGAGTGCGTGATCATGTAAGTTGGTTAGGTTAGGGCCTTAGAGAGCAGGGGCCAGAGGTGGGATCGTCGAAGGTGGGGTTCGTAGTGCCACTGGAGGGATTGCCTGCTTCCCTAGAGAAATGGACCAGAAGTATGGCCAGGGGGCGGACACCGGATGGTGGCCATGTACCAACTGATGACTGAGACTGGGGCGACAGATGATGATGACCAAAACAACCACATCGACTGGAGAGTGTCAAACTCATGACCAGAGGTATGGGGCCAGATGGTGGCGGCGTACCAACCACGACCGTTGACGAGAATAACTGTGGTACCAACCACAATTGACTGAAGAGGGTCTAGTTGATGAAGAAGGTATGGGGACAGATGATGGTTGTGTACCTGCTGATGACATAGACTAGAGTGCCTCCAGGTGAAACATATAATCAACAATGACGGTAGTACCTTGGCCAGGGGGTCGGGCTAGGTGAGTATATTGGGGTTGCTTAAGGGATTTCATAGGTAAGACCTTGGTCAGGGGGGGCGCTGGACACTCCCTGTGATATCTAGGGTGTGCATGTCTAGTTCCATGATACACTGGGGTCCCCCGGTAAGCTTTGGGGCCCACTATGGGTCTACACACGGGTGACACGGGGCCTTTAGAGAGAATGCGCATGCCTAACGCCCAAAGTAGCCCTACAACAGGGGATCATCCGAGCATGCTTCATTCAATGCTGATGGGGTTTTCTGCTTTGAGCTCGTGCTTGCAATGGCTGTCCGGTCAGGTCACCCAGGGAAGATGATGGAAGAAGGGTGAATAACACCGACTGTCCTAAGTGGACGACACTGAGGTAGGACTGGGGGAGAGGGAGTGCGTCGCAGAGATGAGAGCATGATACATGGGGTCTCATAACAGGTAAGACCCAAAATAAAACAAAAAGAAGAAAGAAGATGGCCCAGGGCTTGAGTGCAGTCGGCATTACAGAATTACAGTTAAAGAAGACCCTCCCGTTGAGTTAAAGCCTGCAATTATCTTCTCACCAAATTGAAGAAGGTAGACCTAGTGAAGGGTTGCCAATGGGGGCCGAGAGTACTCGGGGTAGAGGGACTGGAGGCAGAGATGCAAGAGTCTATCACTCGATGCACTGAGTAGTCTGGGCGTTTACCTGGGAGTCGTGTTAGTATAGCTCCGCTTTGAGGAAAAGTTGTGCGGTATTGATTCTATTGAAGATGACCTCCATGGATATGGGGGACTGAGGTGGAACACAAGGAAGAGGTGTCTGGCTATGGAAGGCGGTCACAGTCATCGATGCGGACATTGGGCCTCATGTTGTAGATAATGGAGGACAAATACGAGGGAAGGGGGAATAAGGAGGTGTGAACCGACAAGCAGACTTCCCTTTGGCCAGGGTGAACCATCTTCATCTTCATGGATCCCGCCTCATCATTCAGGCCACCGTCCAGGTACCAATCGTGTACGCACTTTCAACCAAACTGTTCCCGCAATGGAGCTAAAAAGCACCACTGTGGGTAATGACTGACGCAGTTTTGATTAACACCCCCGCTAAACTTGCACATTTCGAAACTCACACCATTACAGCACCGCCACTTTGTCTTTTCTTGCCTATTCACACGACAAGTGTGTCACAGCCACAGTTTCCCCCTTAAATAAATTTAAATTTTATTACTAACGAGAGGATGACTCAGAGGCAATTATGTGAAAAAGACTGTTGGCGACAGGAGGGAGATGGCAATCATGGCATGTGGTTCAATGATGTGGTATTCTTTTTCCCCTTCTTCTTTCTTCACTCCTCTTCAGAATCTGTCCTGGTGCCATTTCACTTCTTTGGACTCGTAACGAATGCCATTGTCTGCTTATCATTCAATCATCATTGTCAAAATGTTGATTCTTGCATCTTGAAATGGACAGTGTCACAGACACTTCCGTACACGTGGATAATTGTGCATGCACTGCATGGTTGTTTTGGGATGAATCGTTTGCTCAGTGAGTAGCCTGAGGGTATGCTCCATGAACGAACGAATTGAAGTCAGTCATATTTATGATTGGGCACCTCAAGGAATTGAAGGAAATGCCAATCTTAAGTAATATGCTCTAAAAGCCTCGTACCGGGGAAATGCCCTGTTCTTGGCTATTGGGGCCAGATCATCCCACTGGCAAAGAGGATTGGAATGAGTGTCTGAATCTGGGAGTGTTTGTGGCGAGATGCAGAAAACTGTGGCTGATCTGCTTTTCTGCATCTCCGTGTTCCAGATTTGGACACTTATTCCGATCGTCCTTGCCAGTGGGATCTGGCCCTTAGAATGATCCAGAACCTGAATTGCTCATGATGACAACATTGACAAGTAGTAGACTACCCAACCCAAAAACATAATTCATGTTTGTTTATCTCCTAAGTTGGCCTCTATAGTGCTAAGTACATCCTATGAGGCGGAACGATTTTGGTTGTGCACTCCATAAATCACTGTCAGGCAGCTTCTGTGCAGTCCAGTGTCCACCCGCTTGGTGGTGGTCTTTTCTTCCCTCCGGCGACGTTTGCACCTCTTCCTAACTGTTTTTCGAGATTGTAATCCGATCGGCCAATTGCCAGCATGCATTTCTTTGATCGTCACTCTCGCTTTTCCAGACTGAGAGAAAGTCGAACAGTAAATCGCTTCATGGCTATGGTATGTCTACTTGAGTTGCACACTTGACGGCTCGCAGGCAGGCTGGTCTCTTCTTGACGTCTTGTTCAGTGCTCTCTCTCTCTCTCTCTCTCTCTCTCTCTCTCTCTCTCTCTCTCTCTCTCTCTCTCTCTCTCTCT